TTCACCCTTTTTAAATTTGATTACAATTAATTTTCAAAGTCAGAATTTGGAATGAAAATAGAAAATGAAAAAATACAGTAGTTAATTAATAACAAAAGCAAAAGCTGAAAATAAATGAATAAAATTAATAAAAAAACAGTAAAAGAAATATAAAAAGAAAAATAAATAAATAAAAAAAAATACTAATTAGCGAATAAATAAAAGAGTTAATAAGTTATATTGATTTCATTTCATTTTTATATTCAAAAATATCACAATCTAAATCAAATAAACTGTTTTTACTAAAGATTAAGCTTCAAATTTGAGAGTTTAACACACTTTTCTAAACCAGAACCTAAGTCTGATGCACCTTAAGCATTAATATAATTTGAACTTTTTAAATATTTAAGAAATAATATATTTTTAATTAGTTAGTTAGAAGGAAAACATTAATATAAAATGTGGAATAATAAGAAATTAATTAATTAATTAATAATAAAAGTAAAAGTTGAAAATCAAAAAATAAATTAATAAGCAAACAATAAAGAAATTAAAAAAGAAAAATAAATCAAATATAAATCTACTAAATTAATAAATTAAAAGAGATAGTTAGTTAGTTAGTTAGTTAGTTAGTTAGTTAGTTAATTATGTTGTTTTCAATTCGTTTTTATATTCAAAAATATCACAATCCAAAACAAATAAACTGTTTTTACTTCAGGTTAAGAGTCAAATTTAAGAGATTAACGCACTTTCCTAAACCTGAACTTAAGTCTAATACACCTTAAACACCAATTTAGTTGCTACTTTTTAAAAATTAAAGAAATTATTTATAGCTAATTAATTAGTTAGCTAGAAGGAAAAATGAAGATAAAATGTGAAATAATGAGAAATTAATTAATAACTCATAATAAAAGCAAAAGTTGAAAATAAATAAATGAGTAAAATTAATAAATAAACAAAAAAACAATAAAAGAAATAAAAAAAAGAAAAATAAATCAAATAAAAAAATAATAAGTTAATAAATTAAAAGAGGTTGTTAGCTAGTTAGTTATATTGCTTTTAATTCATTTTTAATTTCAAAAATATCACAACCCAAAACAAATAAACTGATTTTACTTAAGCTAAAGTGTCAAATTTGAGAGATTAAGGCACTTTCCTAAACTTGAAAATAAGTTTGATGCACCTTAAGAACCAATTTAATTTGAACTTTTTAAATATTTAAGAAATAATATAGAGTTAATTAGTTTGCTATAAGGAAAAAATGAAAATAAAATGTATAATAATGAGAAATTAATAATAAAAGTAAAAGTTTAAAATGTGTAAAATTAATAAACAAATAATAATAAAAATAATAAAAAAAAAGATAAATCAAATTAAAAACTTCTAAGTTAATAAATTAAAAGAGTTAATTAGTTAGTTAATTTAGTTATATTGTTTTCAATTCATTTTTATATTTAAAAAATATCACAACTCAAAACTAATAAAGTGTTTTTACTCCAGGTTAAGTGTCAAATTTGAAAGATTAAGGCACTTTCCTAAACCTGAACCTAAGTCTGATGCACCCTAAGCACCAATTTAGTTGCTGCTTTTTAAATATAAAAGAAATAATATATATTTAATTAGTTGGTTACTTAGTGAGCTAGAAGGAAAAAATTAAGATAAAATATGAAATAATGAGAAATTAATAAAAAAGCAAAAGTTGAAAATAAATAAATGAGTAAAATTAATAAACAAATAAAAAATAAAAGAAATAAAAAAAAGAAGAATAAATCAAATAAAATACTAACAAGTTAATAAATTAAAAGAGATTATTAGTTAGTTAGTTATATTGTTTTCAATTCATTTTTATAATCAAAATTATCACAAGCCAAAACAAATAAACTGTTTTTACTTCAGGTAAAGAGTCAAATTTGAGAGACTAAGGCACTTTCCTAAACCTGAACCTAAGTCTGATGCACCCTAATCACTAATTTAGTTCCAACTTTTTAAATATTTAAGAAATAATATATATTTAGTTACTTACTTAGAAAAAAAAAATGAAGATAAAATGTGAAATAATAAGAAATTAATTTATTTATTAATAATAATAAATGCAAAAGTTGAAAATGAAATACTAAAAGAAATAAAATAAAGAAAAATAGATAAAATAAAAAAAAATAAATAAAAAATTATAAGAGGTAGTTAGTTATATTGTTTTCAATTTATTTTTTATTCAAAAATATCTCAATCCAAAACAAATAAACAATTTTTACCCAAGATAAAGTGTCAAATTTGAGAGATTAGTGCAGTCAGCTAAAAAAAAACCTAAGACTTAAGCATCTTTATCATCAATTTTTATATTACTACTCATATGTTTATGAAAAAATGTAGAGTTAATTTGTTATTTGGAAGGATAAATTGAAGTAAAAGTATGAAATAATAAGAAATGAATGAATTAATTTGTAATTAAATAAAATATTATTTAAATTGACAAATAAACAAAAAAAAATTAAAAGCTGAATAAAAAAAGGAAAATAAATCAAATAACAATATTTTAAATAAATTAAAAGAGTTAGTTAGTTTTTTATTTAGTAATATTGTTTTCAATTCCTTTTGAAATTAAAAAATGTTATTATCAGATATAAATAAACTGTTTTTACGATATATTGAGTTCCAAATTTTAGAGATTAACTTTCTTTGCTAAATAAAAACCTAAGCTTTAGGCATCTTATTTATTAATTTATTGTGTGCTTTTTAAATATTAAAGAATAAATTTATAGTTAATTAGTTAGTTAGTTAGTTAGTTAGTTAGTTAGTTAGTTACAAGGAAAAAATGAAAAAAAAGAAAAGAAATAAGTTAACTAATAAAAATGTAAATGTTACAAACCAAAAAAATAAGTCGATTTAAAGAGCAAAAAAAAATCAGAAGAAAAGAAATAAATTATCTATAAGCAAATAAATAAATAAACTGTTTTTACTCAAGATTAAGTGCCAAATTAGAGAGATTAGCGCACTTTCCTAAATCATAGCCTAATGCTAATTAGCCAATTGCTTTAACTTAATTTTTACTTTTTTAATATTGAAGAAAAAATAAAAAAAAAGCTAATTGGTTAGATAGAAGGAAAAAATGAAAATAAAAAAATTATAAAAAAAATTAATTACTTAATAAAATCAAAAATCAAAATTGAAAATGAATTAAATTAATAAACAAACAACAAAAGAAAATTAAAGCAAATTAAAAAAAAGTAAAATAAAAGTAAATAAAAAGCTAATAAATTAATTAAAATAGTTAGTTAGTTATATATATTCTATTTAATTTATTTTTATATTGAAAATATCATAATCCAAAATAAACAAAAAAATAAATAAACTGTTTTTACTTTAGATTAAGTTTCAAATTTTTGAGATTAATGCACTTTCTTAAACCAGAACCTAAGTATGATGCACCTAAAACATCTATATTATTATCCCTTTTTAAATATTGAAGAATAATGTATATTTAATTAGTTAGTTAGTTAATTAGAAGGAAAAAATAAAGTTAAAATGTGAAATAATAAGAAATTAATTAATAAATTAATTAAGAATAAAAGCAAAAGCTGAAAATGTAAAAAGAGTCTAATTAACAAAGGAAAAATGTAAAAATTTAAGATAAATAAAAAAAATATAAATCAAATAAAAAGCTAATAAATAAATAAAAATAATATAGCACTTCCAGTAAATGGAATTCCGCCATCTGGGATTGCTAAGATGGCGGAATTCCAATTTAATCTTAATTAAAAATAAAAACCTAAGAAATGAAATGGGAGATATTTAGAGAATTAAATAAACTCTACAATAAATAAAATTTTTATGTTTTTAACTTCAATTTTATTTAATTTAATTATTGAATTTTTATATCTCATTTTGAATTTATATTAATTAATTCTATCATTCATTTCATTTTTGTAAGCAATTAAAATTTTTAATAACTTTAAATCTCAAAGTTATGAATCAATAAAGATGTCTAAGATAAATTGTTTTTAAAATGTTTAACTTTATATTAATTATAATAAACTATTGCTTAATTTGAATAAAAATAAGTAGATTTACTTATGGATTAAAATCTATTCGCAAATAATAATTCACTTAAAGTTATGGAAAAATTACAAATTTTGAAATTTTTGATTAGACTTAAAAAATAAAAAAATAATTAAGATTTATTTCGGGGAGAAAATATCAATTTCTTAAATCATATATCAATGTTTGATGTTATTTGAATAATTTATTTTAAAAATAAATTAAAATAAAATTTATTTTTTTTATTATACCAGAATTTAAGATCTAAGTGATGAACTAACCTTTTTGCTATACATTCCTAGATTTTAGACAGATTACTGTAACCTTTAAAATCGTACTTATCTAATCTGACTTCATTTTGTTTGCTTGTGTAGTTAAATTTAAGAAAAGATTGTCTGAATTTTGAAATCATCAAATTAGACTCAGTAAAATCCAATTTGTCCTTTATTGCATAAATGAACTAACTTTCTAATTTTATTCTTAATTCATTTAATTGTTTAGTTAGTCCAAAAGAATCGATTCTATTCTAAGGAGTTTTTTCAAGCATTTTAATTATAATTTAGTTAATATCTTAATATAAAGCGTTTTTGCTTATATAGTTAGGTAGCTTTCCATTTCTGATAAAAGCACAATCTCCATCTTCAAGAAACTTTCCAAGGGTTAATTCAAGGAGAATAATTCCTAAGCCATAAATGTCATACTTTAAATAAAAATTCATTTAAAAATAAGTAAATATATAATATAATCCTTTAATAAATTTACTTTGATATTGAAGAAGCCATTATCTTCTTTTATTTCAGGAGCTGCATACTTTCTTGTAAATCCTTTTAGCTTTTTAATATTAAGAATGTAAAATATAAATAAGTAAATTTATAGAAATAGCTTCTAATATATAAAGAGTAAAAATTATTTTATATATTTTAGAAAAATGGAAAACCTTTGATAAATTTGAATAAATTAAATGCTTTAAAAGCAAGTGTTGAAATTCTAAAAATAAATAGTGCTGAAACTAATTTGAGTAGTAATTAAGTTTGAAAAATAAATAAATTAATTAATTAATTACATTATAAGTTTTTGATCCATCTTTAAATGATTTAGACTCTCCGTAATCACCTTGAAGATTAAAAATAAGAATTAAGGTAATAATAAACTTATAAATAGTATAAAATTCAAGTCAATAAGATTAAAAGCAAATTATATTTATTTGAAATATTTATTTATTAAGAAATATATATATTTAAAAACTCAAACTATTATTTTGTATATTAATCATTAAACTATTAAACTGCAAACATGCATTTATAAAAAGAATGAATATTTAAAAAATAAGTGTAAAATTATAATAAATTCTAATAATTTGATACTACACTTAAAAATATTTTATTTTTTCAAAAGAATAAAGTAGTTTTTTATATTTAAAAATATGTGAATAAAAAAAAAATTGAGAAAAACTTTTCAAAAAAATTAAATCTATCGATTGCAATCACATTTTTAGAAGGGGGAAGATTAAATTAACTTACAATATATTTTGTTTGCTTGTTTGAAAAGTTTCTTAATCCAAAAATTTAAAAATAAAATAAAATTTTAAATAACATTAAAAATTTACATAGATTAAAACATTTTTCTTAGCTATCATATAGGATATTCTCTGGTTTAATGTCAGAGTGAATCAGATTATTTTACTAAATTTTTTCAAAGACTGTTGACATCTGAATAGCAAAACCAACTATTTAGTTGAGTGGTAGTGTTTTTTTTTAATCAAAGAAGCTTTACATTATGTCTTTAAGATTGCCTAAAAATTTGAATATTTTTAAAAACTAAAAGGAAAAAAATATGAATTTTTACATGAGTATTTTTTAGAAATCTGATAGTATTTAGTTTTTTTTTCATTTAAAAACTCTTCGATAGTTTTAAAGACATAAGGAGTATCCTTTAACAGTTTCATTATTTTTTCTTCTTCTTTGATTTTTTCAAATTTAGGTTTGCTACATTTGACAGCAACTATTTCTTCATTGTACTTAGCTTCAAAAACACATCCATTACCGCCTTGTGAAATGTAGGATGTTAAGTATATCTTCTTCTTTTGAAGCTCATTGTAAATCGATGTTAGTTCATCTGTATCAAATATCATATTCTCTTTATGTTCCTCTTAGTAGTCCTCAAAAATTTCTTAAAATTTTTCTTCAGGTGCCTAATATTTAAGCTCGATGTCTTGTTATTATTGCATGATTAGTAACAATTGCTAATATATAAAATAATTATAATGTTTAACGAATAAGAATAAAAAAATTTTTTTTTAATTTAAATAATATATTTTATTTTATAACGAAATCTTTTTTATTTACCTTTTTTATTCCTTTCAATTAAATTCTTTGTTTTTTTCTTAATTAAATTATAAAAATTTCTTAATTAAAAAAGTATAAAAATTATTAGCTAATTTAATTAAAGTTATTTTCCCCAAAAACTTCAAAATCAAATTTATTTTTCTTACATAATAATTTAAATGTAAATAAATTCATATCAAGCAAATTCACTTCATCATAAAATAATATTTATTTATTTATTTATTTTAGATTTGATTTATTTATAAAAGCTAAACAAAAAAGAAAACAATAATTTTTAAAATTTACCAGATATAAATCTAGTTTTTAGAAATTAAAAGATTAATCATCTTTATTAAAAATATATTATAGGCAAATAAAAATTTTCTAATATTTTATCAAAATATTTCCCTTTAAACCAATAAATTATCTTCTCATAAATGAAATAAAAAAGCATAATTTACTTAATTTTTATTTTACCTTTAATTCAATTTTTTTTTGTTGTTTTTTTTATAATAATCTGTTATTAAATATATTTTTAAATTATTTTTTTTGACCTTAAGTTTTCGAGTTGCAAGAAATTTTAAAAAATTCTAGCATATTCTATTGGGATATCTAAGTAATAGCATTGAAAAATACAAAAAATACTGATGATATTAAAAAATGTTTTATCTACATTTAATAAATTAAGGAGTTTATCTATTTACAAATTTAACTTTAATTAATGAAATTAAAAATTTTTGTAAATTTAACTTTAAATTTATAAAATCAGCTTGTTGAAAATAAAAAAATCATATTAGGTTTCATTTACCATTTTATTAAAAAAAGTATTTTATTCAATGAAAGTAAATATATTAAAAATTGGCATGAAAAATTAAAAATTTATTCCCATAAATACATTAATTTATTAATGAATAATGATTAATAATTTATTTTATTAAAAAATAAAGTTATTTGTGTATGTAATAAAAGACCATAAATTCATTCAAAAGAAAGTTTTATTTTTAAATAATATAAATAAAAACAATTTATAAAATTAATTATTATTCAAATTTATTCAGTTTACATTTTAATTAATCACTTTGTTTTATAGCCCTTTGCAATTTTAAAAAATAGTCATCGCTATTTATTAGCAATGATTTAATTAATATTTAGAAATTATACATAATTTAATTAAAGATTATGTATATTTTTAAATTTTATTTTCTGAAATATTTTGATGCATTTAATGAATGAAAAATAGTTAGTATGTCATCAAAATATTTATTTATAAATTTTGCTGAAATCGATTTTGTTTTTGAAGAAACAGGAGGGTTTGTTTAAGAGGAATTAATTTATTTAACTAAATTTTATTTTTGTATTTTTTTAATTTATTTACTAACAAAAATATAAATGATATTTATAATAAAAAACAATAATAAAATCTAATATATTTTAGGTTAAAAAAACTTTTTCAAAATATTAAAAAATAAAAAAACCTATAATATTCAATTATTAAAGCATTTAATTTTTATTAGTCCTTATTTCGCCATTTGCTTATCACCAGAATTTTTTTTTAAAGACAACTAATCTTTTTGATTTAAGACACTTTTTTATTACTTTGAATTTTTATGATTCATTAATTGACCTAAAAATTTATAATAAATTTGTGTAAATTTTAAATTAAAAATTATATCTTAAATTAATAAATAAATAAAATAACATTAGTGGAATAAAAAAGATAAAAAATAAATCAAATAAAACTTATTAAATAAATTCAAAGTACTTTTTTGTTTTAAATTAGTTTTTGTAATTAAAAATATAACAATTTAAAACAAATAAACTGTTTTTACTAAAGTTCAAGTGTCAAATTTGAGAGATTAATACAATTTGCTAAACCAGAGACTAAGCCTGATGCACCCTTTGGAGTAATATAATTTTTTCTTTTGAAATATTAAAGAAAAAATTTTTTATTAAATAGTTAATTAGAAGGAAACAATGAAGAATTAATATGAAATAAATAGATAGATCAGTTAATAATAAAATCAAAAGTTGAAAATAAAATGATGTGTTAAATAAACAAAGAAGGAACAAAAAAATAAGCAAGCACAATAAAAAGAAAAAGAAAAAAGTGCTTTATTGTTTTTAATTAGTTTTTAAAATTAAAAATATCACAATCCAAAACAAATAAATTGTTTTTACTCAAGAGAAAGTGTCAAATTTGAGAGATTAATGCAATTTGCAAAAGCAGAACCTAAGCCTGATGCACCCATTGCACCAATTTTATTGTCACTTTTTAAATATTGACATTAAATAGTTAATTATAAGGAAACAATTAAGAAAGAATATGAAATAATAAGATAGATTAGTTAAAAATAAAAGCAAAAGTTGAAAATAAATTGATGATTTAAATAAATAAAGAAAAAACAAAAAAAAAGCACAATAAAAAGAAAAAGAAAAAAGAGCTTTATTATTTTTAATTAGTTTTTATAATTAATATCACAATCCAAAACAAATAAACTGTTTTTACTAAAACTTAAGTGTCAAATTTGAGAGATTAATGCAATTTGCTAAAGCAGAACCTAAGCCTGATGCACCTTTATCACCAATTTTATTGTTACTTTTTAAATATTGAAGAATAAATATATCATTAAATAGTTAATTAGAAAGAAGCAATGAAGAAAGAATATGAAATAATAAGATAGATTAGTTAATAATAAAAGCAAAAGTTGAAAATAAAATGATTCGATAAATAAACAAAGAATAAAGAAAGAACAAAAGAAAAGTTAAAAAGGAGCTGTATTGTTTTAAATTTGCTTTTATAATTAAAAATATCACAATCCAAAAAAACAAATAAACTGTATTTACTAAAACTTAAGTGTCAAATTTGAGAGATTAATGCAATTTGCTAAACCAGAACCTAAGCCTGATGCTCCAATTGCACCAATTTAATTGTCACTTTTTAAATATTGAAAAAAAAATATATCATTAAATAGTTAATTAGAAGCAAAAAATGAAGAAAGAATATGAAATAATAAGATAAAGTAGTTAATAATAAAAGCAAAAGTTAAAAGTAAATTGATGAGTTAAATAAACAAAGAAAGAACAAAAAAAAGTAAGCACAATAAAATAAAAAGAAAAAAGTGCTTTATTATTTTAAATTAGTTTTTATAATTAAAAATATCACAATCTAGAACAAATAAACTGTTTTTACTCAAGGTTAAGTGTCAAATTTGAGAGATTAATGCAATTAGCTAAACCAAAACCTAAGCCTGATGCACCTTCATCACCAATTTAATTTCGACTTTTTTAATATTGAAGAAATAATAATACCATTAAATAGTTAATTAGAAGAAAACAATCAAGAAAGAATATGAAATAAAAAGATAGATTAGTTAATAATAAAAGCAAAAGTTGAAAATAAAATGATTTGTTAAATAAACTAAGAAAGAATAGCAAGCACAAAAAAAGAAAAAGAAAAAAGAGCTTTATTATTTTAAATTAGTTTTTATAATAAAAAATATCACAATCCAAAACAAATAAATTATTTTTACTTTAGACAAAGTGTCAAATTTGAGAGATTAATGCAATTTGCTAAACCAGAGCCTAAGCCTGATGCACCTTCATCACCAATTTTATTTTCACTTATTAAATATTGAAAAAAAATATATAATTAAATAAATAGTTAATTAGAAGGAAACAATAAAGAAAGAATATCAAATAAAAAGATAGATTAGCTAATAATAAAAGCAAAAGTTGAAAATAAAATGATCAGTTAAATAAACAAAGAAAGAACAAAAAAAAAAGCAAGCACAATAAAAAGAAAAAGAAAAAATAGCTTTATTGTTTTTAATTAGTTTTTATAATTAAAAATATCACATCTAAAACAAATAAACTGTTTTTACTAAAGCTTAAGTGTCAAATTTGAGAGATTAATGCAATTTGCTAAACCAGAACCTAAGCCTGATGCACCAATTGCACCAATTTAATTGTAACTTTTTAAATATTGAAGAACAAATATATCATAAAATAGTTAATTAGAAGTAAAAAATGACTAAAGAATATTAAATAATAAGATAGATTAGTTAATAATAAAATCAAAAGTTGAAAATAAAACGATATGTTAAATAAACAAAGAAAGTACAAAAAAAAAAGCAAGCACAATAAAAAGAAAAAGAAAAAAGAGCTTAATTGTTTTAAATTAGTTTTTATAATTAAAAATATCACAATCTAAAACAAATAATCTATTTTTACTCAAGAGAAAGTGTCAAATTTGAGAGATTAATGCAATTTGCTAAACCAGAACCTAAGCCAGATGCACCTTCATCACCAATTTAATTTTATCTTTTGAAACATTGAAGAATAAATATATCTTTAAATGTTAGTTAGAAGGAAAAAATGAAGAAAGTCTATGAAAAAGTAATATAGATTAGTTAATAATAAAAGCAAAAGTTGAAAATAAAACGACGTGTTAAATAAACAAAGAGAGAACAAAAAAAAAAAGCAAGCACTATAAAAAGAAAAAGGAGCTGTATCGTTTTAAATTAGTTTTTATAATTAAAAATATAACAATCTAAAACAAATAAACTGTTTTTACTAAAGGTTAAGTGTCAAATTTGAGAGATTAATGCAATTTGCTAAACCAGAACCTAAGCCAGATGCACCTTCATCACCAATTTTATTTTTACTTTTTAAAAATTGAAGAAAAATTATATCATTTAATAGTTAATTAGAAGGAAAAAATGAAGAAAGAATATGAAATAATTAGATAGATTAGTTAATAATTAAAGCAAAAGTTGAAAATAAAATGATGATTTAAATAAACAAAGAAAGAACAAAAAAAAAAGCAAACACAATAAAAATAAAAAGAAAAAAGAGCTTTATTATTTTAAATTAGTTTTTATAATTAAAGATATCACAATCCAAAACAAATAAACTATTTTTACTTTAGATAAAGTGTCAAATTTAAGAAATTAATGCAATTTGCTAAACCAAAACCTAAGCCTGATGCACCTTAATCACCAATTTAATTGTCACTTTTTTAATATTGAAGAAATAATATTTCATTAAATAGTTTATTTAGAAGGAAAAAATAAAAAAAGAATATGAAATAATAAGATAGATTTATAGTTAATAATAAAATCAAAAGTTAAAAATAAAATGATGTGTAAATAAACAAAGAAAGAACAAAAAAAAAGCAAATACATAAAAATAAAAAGAAAAAAGAGCTTTATTGTTTTAAATTTGTTTTTAAAATTAAAATATCACAATTCAAAACAAATAAACTGTTTTTACTTAAGAGAAAATGTTAAATTTAAGAGATTAATGCAATTTGCTAAACCAGAACCTAAGCCTGATGCACCTATTGCATCAATTCTATTGTCACTTTTTTAATATTGAAGAAAAAATACATCATTAAATAGTTAATTAGAAGGAAAAATGAAGAAAGAATATGAAATAATAAAGAGATTAGTTAATAATAAAAGCAAAAGTTGAAAATAAATTGATGAGTTCAATAAACAAAGAAAGAATAAAAAAAAAAGCAAGCACAATAAAAAGAAAAAGAGCTTTAATGTTTTAAATTTATTTTAATAATTATAAATATCACAATCCAAAACAAATAAACTGTTTTTACTCAAGAATAAGTGTCAAATTTGAGAGATTAATGCAATTTGCTAAACCAGAAACCAAGCCTGCACCCATTGCACCAATTGAATTTCGACTTTTTAAATATTGAAGAAAAAATATATCATTAAATAGTTAATTAGAAGGAAAAAATGAAGAAAGAATATGAAATAATAAGATAGATTAGTTAATAATAAAAGCGAAAGTTGAAAATAAATTAATGAGTTAAATAAACAAAGAAAGAACCAAAAAAAAACAAGCACAATTAAAAGAAAAAAAGAGAGCTTTATTGTTTTAAATTAGTTTTTATAATTAAAAATATGAAAATCCAAAACAAATAAACTGTTTTTACTAAAGCTTAAGTGTCAAATTTGAAAGATTAATGCAATTTGCTAAAGCAGAACATAAGCTTGATGCACCCATTGCACCAATTTAATTGTAACTTTTTTAATATTGAAGAAAAAATATATCATAAAATAGTTAATTAGAAGTAAAAAATGAAGAAAGAATTTGAAATAATAAGATAGATTAATTAGTTAATAATAAAAGCAAAAGTTGAAAATAAAATGATAAGTTAAATAAACAAAGAAAGAACAAAAAAAAAAGTACAATAAAAAGAAAAAGAAAAAAGAGCTTAATTATTTTAAATTAATTTTTATAATTAAAAATATCACAATCTAAAACAAATAAACTGTTTTTACTCAAGAGAAAGTGTCAAATTTGAAAGATTAATGCAATTTGCTAAAGCAGAACCTAAGTCTGATGCAGCCATTTCATCAATTGAATTCCAACTTTTTAAATATTGAAGAAAAAATATATAATTAAATAGTTAATTAGAAGTAAAAAATGAAGAAAGTATATGAAATAATAAAATAGATTAGTAAATAAAGTAAAAGTTGAAAATAAAATGATGAGTTAAATAAACAAAGAAAGAACAAAAAAAAATCAAGCACAATAAAAAGAAAAAAAAAAGATCTTTATTGTTTTAAATTTGTTTTTATAATTAAAAATATCGCAATCCAAAACAAATAAACTGTTTTTACTCAAAAGAAAGTGTCAAATTTGAGAGATTAATGCAATTTGCTAAACCAGAACTTAAGCCTGATGTACCTTTATTACCAATTTTATTGTAACTTTTTAAATATTGAAGAATAAATATATTATTAAATAGTTAATTAGAAGGAAAAAATGAAGAAAGAATATGAAATAATTAGATAGATTAGTTAATAATAAAAGCAAAAGTTGAAAATAAATTGATGAGTTAAATAAACAAAGAAAGAACAAAATAAAAAGTAAGAACAATTAAAAGAAAAAAAAAGAGCTTTATTGTTTTAAATTAGTTTTTATTATTAAAAATATCACAATCTAAAATAAATAAACTGTTTTTACTTAAGAAAAAGTGTCAAATTTGAGAGATTAATGCAATTTACTAAACCAGAACCTAAGCCTGATCCACCTTTATCACCAATTTTATTGTTACTTTTTATATATTGAAGAATAAATACATCATTAAATAATTAATTAGAAAGTAACAATGAAGAAAGAATATGAAATAAAAAGATAGATTAGTTAATAATAAAATCAAAAGTTGAAAATAAAATGATGTGTTAAATAAACAAAGAAAGAACAAAAAAAAAAGCAAGCACAATAAAAATAAAAAGAAAAAAGAGCTTTATTATTTTTAATTAGTTTTTATAATTTAAAATATCATAATCCAAAACAAATAAACAGTTTTTACTAAAGCTTAAGTGTCAAATTTGAGAGATTTATGCAATTTGCTAAACCAGAACCTAAGCCTGATGAACCTTCATCACCAATTTTATTGTCACTTTTTAAATATTGAAAAATATTTATATCATTAAATAAATAGTTAATTAGAAGGAAAAATGAAGAAAGAATATGAAATAATTAGATAGATTAGTTAATAGTAAAAGCGAAAATTGAAAATAAAATGATGAGTTAAATAAACAAAGAAAGAACAAAAAAAAAAACAAGCACAATAAAAAGAAAAAGAAAAAAGAGCTTTATTGTTTTAAATTAGTTTTTGTAATTAAAAATATCACAATCCAAAACAAATAATCTGTTTTTACTCAAGACAAAGTGTTAAATTTGAGAGATTAATGTAATTTGCTAAACAAGAACCTAAGCCTGATGCACCTTCATCACCAATTTAATTTCGACTTTTTAAATATTGAAGAAAAAATATATCATTAAATAGTTAATTAGAAGGAAAAAATGAAGAAAGAATATGAAATAATAATCTTTATTAGTTAATAATTAAAGCAAAGGTAGAAAATAAATTGATATGTTAAACAAAGAAAGAAAAGAAAAAAAACCAAGCACAATAAAAAGTAAAAGAAAAAAGAGCTGTATTGTTTTAAATTAGTTTTTATAATTAAAAATATAACAATTCAAAACAAATAAACTGTTATTACTAAAGCTTAAGCTTCAAATTTGAGAGATTAATGCAATTTGCTAAACCAGAACCTAAGCCTGACGCACCTTTATCACCAATTTAATTGTATCTTTTTAAATATTGAAGAATAAATATATCTTTAAATAGTTAATTAGAAGGAAAAAATGAAGAAAGAGTATGAAATAATAAGATAGATTAGTTAATAATAAAAACAAAAGTTGAAAATAAAATAAAGAAAGATCAAAATAAAAGCAAGCACAATATAAAGAAAAAGAAAAATGAGCTTTATTGTTTTAAATTAGTTTTTATAATTAAAAATATCACAATCTAAAACAAATAAACTGTTTTTACTTAAGAGAAAGTGTCAAATTTGAGAGATTAATGCAATTTGCTAAACCAGAACCTAAGCCTGATGCACCCATTGCATCAATTCTATTGTTACTTTTTTAATATTCAAGAAAAAATACATCATTAAATAGTTAATTAGAAGGAAAAAATGAAGAAATAATATGAAATAATAAAGAGATTAGTTAATAATAAAAGCAAAAGTTGAAAATAAAATGATGAGTTAAATAAACAAAAAAAGAGCAAAAAAAAGCAAGCACAATAATAAAAAAAAGAAGAAAGAGCTTTATTGTTTTAAATTAGTTTTTATAATTAAAAATATCACAATCCAAAACAAATAAACTGTTTTTACTCAAGCTTAAGTTTCAAATTTGAGAGATTAATGCAATTTGCTAAACCAGAACCTAAGCCTGATGCACCTTCATCATCAATTTAATTGCAACTTTTTAAATATTGAAGAACAAATATATCATTATATAGTTAATTAGAAGGAAAAAATGAAGAAAGAATATGAAATAATAAGATAAATTAGTTAATAGTAAAAGCAAAAGTTAAAAATAAAATGATGAGTTAAATAAACAAAAAAAAAAGCAAGCACAATAAAAAGAAAAAAAAAGAGCTTTATTGTTATAAATTAGTTTTTATAATTAAAAATATCACAATCTAAAACAAATAAACTGTTTTTACTTAAGAGAAAGTGTCAAATTTGAGAGATTAATGCAATTTGCTAAAGCAGAACCTAAGCCTGATGCACCCATTGCACCAATTTTATTGTTACTTTTTAAATATTGAAGAATAAATATATCTTTAAATAGTTAATTTGAAGGAAAAAATGAAGAAAGAATATGAAATAATAAGATAGATTAGTTGATTATAAAAGCAAAAGTTGAAAATAAAATTATGAGTTAAATAAACAAAGAAAGAGCAAAAAAAAAGCAAGCACAACAAAAAGAAAAAGAAAAAAGAGCTTTTTTATTTTTAATTAGTTTTTATAATTAAAAATATCACAATCCAAAAAAACAAATAAACTGTTTTTACTAAAGCCTAAGTGTCAAATTTGAGAGATTAATGCAATTTACTAAAGCAGAGCCTAAGACTGATGCACCTTCATCACCAATTTAATTGCTACTTTTTAAATATTGAAGAAAAAATATATCATTAAATAGAGTAAGTTGCCATACAAATTTACAAAAAAAAGCGAGTTTTTTTTACAGTAAAATTTTTCAAAATTTATTTTTTTCAAAAAAAAAATGATATGTTTGTTTTTAGAAAAAACTGTGTATATTATTTCAAATTTTGCATTTTGTGAATTAAAGCTTTCTAAAAACTCAAAAATAAAGCTGTTTTAAACTAATTTAGCTTATATTCAGATATATTACATTTCGCCTTTTATAAATTAAATAGGCATTTAACTCTAGTTATTTAGAAGGAAAAAATCAAGAAAATATATCAAATAGTAAGATTAATTAATAATTAATAAAATAAACAAAGAATGAAAAAAAAAAAATCATAATAAAAAGAAAAAGGAAAATACATCAAATAAATTAAAAGAGCTTTAATGTTTTAAATTAACTTTTATAATTAAAAATATTATAATCCAAAAAAAAATAAATTGCTTTTATTAAGTGTATGTTTTAATAGCAAAAAATGAAGAAAAAAATAAAATAATAAAAAATGAATAATAAATAAATAATTAAAAATTGAAATGAAAATTAAGTTAAAATAGCAAAAAAATTATTGTTTTAATAAAAATCAATATATAATGATGATAATTTCTATAATAAAAAATATTTATTCAAATAAATTGAAAATTTAATAACAAAAAATATTAGTAAAAATAAAAATAATATTTTTTTTTAATTAAATATACGTCAGATCAATATGGAGAACCTAATGAGATAAAAGTGAAGAGCTTAAAAACTTTTTTATTAATTTATATAAATTTAAAGGATATTAATAAAAAAATTAATAATTACTTTTTCTAAATTATAATATTTTTTAATCTATTATTTCATTTATTTTATTTTTTTTCAAAAATATTGAATAGCAATTTATGAAATTTAATTAATTATAAATGGATAAGAAGAACAAATAAATTTAATAATTAATTAATTATCAAATATAAATTTATAAATTTGGTTTTATGAAGAGATATCTCAGAAAAATTAATTTAGCATTCACTATTTAAACTTAATATTTGTATTGAAAACATTTACTTAAAAATATATATTGTTGGAATTAGAGATGGCCAGTTATTTATTTAGTCATATTTGGAAAAATTCTAGTAGTTAATGTTCTTAAATATTACAAAAATAATGTTTATAAGTAGATTTTTTTGTTTTAGTTCTGTAATTTTAGGAATATTTATAATATCTCTAATTATAGCAAGGTGCCATACAAAAATTTATGGTTTGTATGCCACTTATTATGAAATACATTTTTTATTTATTTATTAAAAAATCTGATTTATAAATATATTTAATAATAGAATAAAAATTAATTAATGATATTATTTATTTTAATTTCAAAAATAAATAATTTTTTTGCTTCAAATTTTTTAAAGTATGGATGTATGTATGTATCCATCCAGTAAAAGCGGAATTTCAATACCTGGATTAGCAATATATATATATATAATAAATAAATAAAATTTGTTTACTAAATTATTTATCAAGTTTTAATCATATTATTAATTGTAATGTTTTTTTAATTATTTGAATCATTTAAATAAATGATTGCTGCATTGAATTATTCGAAAATTGTTTATTTGTTTATATTTTTTCTGTTAGTACAGATCATAAAATCAGTTTATCAGATTAACTCATTCCGAATGTTTTTTTTTTCAATTTTTTTACACAATTTGACTAATAATATTATTTTAAGTAATTTAATATTTATCAAAATTATTACATTTTTATTTGATAAAAAATGGAAGCAAAAATAAATTTTTTGAGAATAAACTAAATATTTTAATTACAGAATTTGATGAAATTTAACAATATTTTAATTTTAATAAATATTTATAAATAAATATTAAACACTTGAATAAATACAAAGAATATTTTATTTAAAAAACATTTGTATGCACTTTAAAATTTACTAAATGATTTAAATTTATATCATTAATTAAATAGAATAAGTTAAGCAAAAAGTAGAAAGAAGAAAGAATTTGTTATAGTTAAGTTTATATAAAAAATATAATAATTGGTGTGTAATAAATAAATAAATTAATTAATTAAGATTTTTTTGCATTTTTTGTTTTTGAAAATTTGATCAAAGATATTAATTTATAATTTTTTAATAGAAATTTAATCACTTTAAAATTAGCTAGCAATTAAAATGTCAAATTTGAGTCACTTGCCTATTGATATAGCTCCTCATATTAAAGAGGCTTTGTAAAATAATGGTCCAGTAGTTGCCTTAGAATCTACAATTATTACTCACGGTAAAAAATCATTTTGTTTTCAAGTAGAAAATAGATATTAACTACTTTTATATTTTTGAATAGGAATGGAATATCCAAACAATGTTAATTGCGCTTTGGAAGTTGAAGAATGTGTTAGATAAGGAGGCGGTATCCCTGCCACTATTGCTATTATTTAAGGCAGAATCAAAGTAATAACTATTTTATTGATTAAGTAGAATTAATTAACTCATTTTTATTCAAATGTTTAAATTAGATTGGTATCACCAAAGAAGAAATAGATTATTTAGGAAAGGAAGGAAGAAAATGCAAAAAATGTAGCAGAAGAGATTTAGCAGTTTGTTTAGTTCAAAAATTGAATGGATCTACTACTGTTGCTGCTACTATGATTTGTGCTAAATATGCAGGAATTAAAGTTTTCGTTACAGGAGGTATCGGTGGTGTTCACAGAGGTGCAGAATAAACCTTCGATATTTCTGCTGATTTAAAAGAACTTGGCTCTACTCAAGTAAAACAAACACACAAAAATGAAAATAATTCATAAAATTTTTATATTTATTTTAATAGGTTGCAGTTATTTGTGCAGGAGCTAAGTCCATATTAGACATCCCTAAGACTTTAGAATATTTAGAAACTGAAGGCGTGCCCATTTTAGGATATAAGACTGATAAATTCCCTGAATTCTTTGTTAGTGATTCTGGATTTAAAGTAATAATTACTTTTTTTATTCTATTTTAGATTATTTATTAGCAATTTAAATTGATGGCTTTAAGATTATTTACTAGCTTTTTGAATTGATAAAACATTTTTTGATGAAAATTCATTAAAAAATTGATTTTTATTTTAATAAATAAATAAAGACTTCAAGCAGTATTGCTTCTGATAAAGAATGTGCTGAAGTTATCCATATGCAATTTAGCAGACTTAACTTGCAAAATGGTATCCTCATTACTGTTCCTGTACCAGCTGAACACGAAGCTGATGGAGAAAAAGTTAAGGAAGCTATTAACTAAGCATTAAAAGAACACGACGAACTTGGTATTACTGGCCCTGAATCTACTCCTTTCTTATTAAAAAGAGTCAACGAAATTACAGGAGGAGAATCATCTAAATCAAACATAGCACTCATTAAAAATAATGCTGTCACTGGTGGTAGAATTGCTAAGGAACTTTCATTAATTGCTTCTAAGAAAGATTGAATTATTAGTTAAGCTTGTAATTATTATATATTTTTATACATATTATGCTAATTATTTCATAATTATAAATCAATTTCGTTCTTTTACATCTTTTAAAAAAATTCTTCAATTACCTTAAAATATTTTTTCTTCAAATACTTAAAAATGATTCATAAAAATTAATTATATTTTGTAAAAACAGTAATTTAAATATCAACTAATTTTTTAATAAGTAAGTCAACTAATTAAATTATACCCATATTTTTTTAAAACTAACTTCTTTCATTGATTTTAAATAAATTTACTTTATTTAAAATTTTAGAATTATAAAAATAAAAAATAATAAACATTAACTTAAAATGAATGTAAAGTTAATGTATTAAAATATATCTTTGTATATCTATTATTTTTATCAGGCCAAATTAATTAACAATAAAAATTATTAAAAACTATTAATTAAAAGGTAGATATCGTCAATTTATTTTAGAAATAAAACGTAGAAGATTAATGAATAAATAAAAAGAAATATCTATAGAAAGATAGATAGATAAATAAATAAGTCATAAGATACGAGAAGAAGTTAATTTACAAAATAAATAAAAAGTATAGTAAAATAAATAAATAAATTAATATATGAATGAAGGAATCATTTATTAAAGAGGAAATATCATCAATCAGAAGAATCTATCTATTTAGATGAAAAAGAGAGGATTATACCACACACTCACACAAAATAGTAATAATAAAATATAAAGGTGAAAAAAAATAGATTAAGATGCTAGGAGCTTTTAGTTTGTTTGGTTAATTGCTTGCTTGTTCGCTTTTTGCTTCTTAAACAAATAAGTTTTGAGTTATCTTTTTAGCTTTTTAGTTTGATTATGTGATTTATTTATTCATTAAGAATTAGATAATGGGAAGGTTGCATGAATGGAAATGAATAAAAACACATTTTGAATTAATGTGTTTGCTATTAAAAAAATAAATAAATAAATGGGAGTAAATAAAAATTTTCTAAATCAAATAAAAAAATAATAAATATTTGTAAAAATTGAGAAAAACTCAATAAGAAAGAGAAGTAATTAAAATAAAATCGCGAAGTAAATAGATCGATCAGTAAAACTAAACAATAAAGAAAATACAGTTTATAGATGGCGGAATAAGGAGGAGTTTATTTAAAAAAGCAATGGTTTATTAAGTCAAATAAAGGAAAGATAGAGGATTTCTATGACATTGACCCCAAGAAAGTAATTTATTCAAGACAGATAGAATATTTTATATTTAAAATAGCCACCTTTTATATGTTCTTGCTTTTTTTTAACTCCTCATATCTTATGAATAAATAAATAATCAATTAATCGTCAGTTCTCATTTTTAATAATTGTTCAATATCTTGAAATAGGTTTTAGGTTCAGGAACATATGGTATGGTCTTTAAGGCAAAAAAGAAAGGCACCAAAATAACAAGGGCAATAAAGCAGATTCCAAAGAAGAAAGTTAAAAATCAAGAAAGATTTTAAAGAGAAATTGAAATTATGTCAAGCTTAGTAAATTGAATTTATCTATTAAGTTTTCAATCAATTTTTTTCTCTAAACTCGCTTTCTAAAACAGGATCACCCAAATATCATAAAGCTCTACGAAACATTTGAAGACGATAAAAATATCTATCTGGTCATGGAGTAAATTTCTTTGATATTTTACTATTCTTTTTATCAAATCTTCGAGAAATAAGTTTCTTTATTTAGTTTAGTTTAGATTAGATTGGTGGTTTGCAAGGTAGAGTTTTTTATAGCAAAAAATGGCCTTAGAAAATAATCCCAATCAATTTCATTTAAATTCAGGATAAATTTATCTAAAAAACATCTTCTTAATCCAAAAAAGAGTTTGTGAAGGTGGCGAACTATTCGATAGAATTATAGAAAGAGGTTTCTTTAGCGAAGTAGATGCAAGAACAATCTTTACCCAAATTATGCAAGCCATCAATTATTGTCATTCCAAAAGTATCTCTCACAGAGATCTTAAGCCTGAAAACTTCTTATTCCTCACAAAGCACGACGATTCTCCAATCAAAGTAAAAAATCAATAAAATTAAAGCGATATTTCCATTTATTAAAGAAAAACCAATATACTAAATACAAAACTCACATCAACTTCAAGGCGATTTCTAAGAATTTTACAAAGATTCCTAAGAATTTTACAAAGATTTCTAAGAATTTTAAAAAGATTTCTAAGAATTTTAATAGGATTTCTATGAATTTAAATAGGATTTATATTAATTTTGGTAAGATTTTATATAATGATATGAGTTTTTAAAATATTCAATAAGAAGTAAAGTGATTTATTTCTTAGGAATTGTTTGAAGTGTGTCAGAATTTATATGAATCTTAGAATAATTAATATGAATTTTATAGGATTTAATTTGAAATAATAAGAATCTTATGAGAATAACTATGTATTTAATAGGATTTTATCTAAAAATTGAAAACGAATATTATTATTTTGATTAGAAATTTATTGGAATTGATAAGAATTTTAGTAATATTTGATATGAATTTTATAGCAATAAATTTGAACTTAATATAACCATTTTATGTGAGATTAAAGATCATTTTTTATGATTGATTGATTGATTATTGCTATTTAATATGAGTTTGAAGACAACATTTTTAATGCCATTTAATGAGAGTTTAAATATATCAATTTTATTATTAAATAGGTTATCGATTTCGGTTTATCTAAGAACTTTGACCATAACTAAGCAATGACTACTAAGGCAGGAACTGTAAGATAGATTTTTTTAAAATGTCATATATAATTTATTATTAAAAAATAGCCTTATTACATTAGTCCTGAAGTCTTGCAAGGTAAATATGACGAGTCATGCGATATTTGGTCAGGAGGTGTTATTTTATACATTCTTTTATCCGGTAATCCTCCCTTTTACGGTGATACTGATCCCGAAATTCTTGAAGCTGTGAAGAAAGGCTAGTTTTCTTTCGATAGTAATTAATTAATTTAATAATAATAATAATAAATACTTTTGGATATTTTGCAACAAAATAGTAATTTATTAATTTTAATGTAAATTTTGTAGTTCCTGAATTCTAAAGCGTATCTTAAGAAGCATAAGATTTAATTAGGAAGATGATTACCACTCCCGATAAAAGACTTAAGTCATTTGAAGTATTAAATCATCCATGGATGAAGCAGGACATCAAATAAAAAGGAAAAAATCTTCCTTTGAATTTTAACGCCCTAAAGAATTTTACTCAACACCATAAATTAAAAAAAGTGGCTTTGACCTTCATAGCATCTCAGCTTTCAGAAAGCGAAATTTCTGATTTAGGAAGACTTTTTAGATAGCTCGATAAAAACGGAGACGGTGTCTTAACCATCGATGAAATTAAAGAAGGTTTGAGTGGAACTACCGAAAAATCATACGATGAAATTAAAAAAGTTATAGAAAGGTAAAGTAATTATTAAGTCTGTCATTCACTCATCTATAAATCAACAAAAATATGAATGAATGAATCAATAAATTAATTTAATCAATCAATTGATAACCAGCCAATCATTTAAGTTGTGCTAATTTTTTGTTTTTATCTAAAAGCATTGACACTGATGGCAGTGGAAAAATAGATTATACAGAATTTTTAGCTGCTACCATGGAAAAAAGCTTATACATGAAAGAAGATAAGCTGATTTAGGCTTTTAAAATGTTAGATTTAGATGACAATGGTAAAATATCAAAAAGTGAACTAAAAAGTGTTTTATGCAGTAAATAAATTTTATTACTTTTTGCACAAATCTTTAAAAATCATTTAAAAAATTATCTTAGAGGATGAAAAATACTAAAATATCCCTGAGAGCTATTGGGATCAGATGATTCAAGAAGTCGATAAAAACGGAGATGGAGAAGTAATTATAATAAAGCAATAATTTATTAATAAAACATAAAAATGTAAATAAATAATAAATAGATCGATTACTCCGAATTTAGAGAAATGATGAATACAATTTCTTTGATTAAGTGAATTAATAAATAATATTATTATTCTATTCTATTCTTTACACCTTCGAATTCCTCAACTTTCTTCTTATTTTATATTTCATGTATTATTTTAATAAGTAAATAAATAAATAAATCAATCAATCAATTTCATTCTATTTGTACTCTTTTTCATTATTCATTCGTTTGTTTTTCTATTAAAACGTTTTGTGTTTGTTTTGAAAATTATTTCTTGTCTTGATAAAGCTTTGAATGAGTTTTACTTTGTTAGATATTTAGAATGAAATCCAATCGAATTTATTTTACTGATTTATAATTTGTGTTTCTTAAGAAAGATTCTTGGTAAGAAATAAAAAAATAATTGGAATTATTTATTTATTTATTTTTAATTATTTAATAGTTATAAAAAGATTTAACTGTTTATATAGTTAGTAAATTAGAAAATAAACAAGCAAATAAACAAACAAACAAATAACCAATCAACAAAATCAAAATTTGCTAATATCAAGCATTATCAAATTTCAATTCAAAAAGTATTTTAGGGAATAGGTTTCGCATTATGTCGGATTAAAAGAATTAGGATCTTCTAAAGACTTCTTTGTGCTTTAGAAAGTTAACTGATTAAAAATCTAGAGGCAATTTTATGATTATTGAAGAAGTTATAGCTGGACATATTACTAAAATTAATGAGCATTTTTAAAAACTCGAAAAGAATGGCCAAACTATTGAAATAACTAGAATTTGCAACTCCATGGATGCTGAAGGAAAGACTCCTCTTTTCTATGCATGGTAATCAACATTCAATAATTATTCAAATTAATCAATTTATTTCCATATTTCAAATCAAGCAAATCATATTTTTATTTATAAATTGCTAAAAAAATTTCAATAAAACATACAAAAATTATGCAAAAATAGAATGCCAAAACATGAAATTACTAATTTTTTGTTGATATTTTGTTCTTATCTAAACAAAATTTTAAAGATTTGTTCGAAAATCATTTTAAATTCAATTCAACTTGTAAATAAAGCCAATTAATTATTATTATTTTGCTATTAATAAAATTAAAAAAAATCAAAAAATTAATTGAAAAATAAATTAATCAATTAATTTACAAGCAAGCTATTAAAGAAATAAATAGGCATAGAAGAAAATTATTAAATTGAAAAAATGAAACATTCTCTTAATTTGTTTGTTTTTTGTGATGGATGGATGATAAATATTTTTTAATAATTTATACAAAAGCTATTACAACTTTTAGAATCTTGTGATGTATTTATTGATGAAAGGTGCTGATCCTTACATTACTGCTTAAAATGGATAAAATGTATTCCACTTATGCTGCTTTATGGGACATACTGAATGCATTGCATTGATATTAAATTTTGAGCGTCATAAAGACAGAATTAAATTATTTTAGGATTTAAAATAAGAAATGAAACAATACTATTTTAAAAGAACTGATGTTAGAAGCGGTGTCTTAGTATCTCCTGATAAACACAATCCACTTGTTTAAGAAAGATTTTAAATATTCAGAAGCTCTATCAAAAATGTATTTAAGGGCTTCTTGAACACTATCTTTAATAGAATTAGAGAAGCTATCACTGCTTCCGATGAATTACAACGCAATCCCATACATTATGCCTCACTAAATAAATTTACTAAATGTCATAAATCTGCTAGATATTTAATAGAATATGGATTAGAATTAACTGGATACCAACCTTTCGAAGATCTTTTTAATGAAGTTTCTCTTCTAGAATTAAATAAAGAAATAAGAATTGATCCAAGATAATATCTCCCATCTCTTGATAGTAAATTCATTCATTTATTAATTCAATTTATTCTTTAAAATTATCATAAAACTTTTTTATAAAATCTTCAGAAAGCCTTTTAAGATTTTCTCAAAATTTTCTAAAAATTATAAAAAATGTTTTAAAATTGCTAGAAAAAAACTCAAAATTTTTTTTTTTTTGAAATAAATTAGTGGTTAAAAACTTTTTATTGCCTCAGGAATACAAAGAACTTGAAAAGAACTTTAAACACTAACTTAAAAACTTAATTTTGCAAGTAATTAATTCTTAAGACAATGAAGGATATACTCCTTTACATTTAGCTTCATTTTATGGAGACTTTGCTTCAGTTTAATTCTTTTTGAAGCACGGTGGTGATCCCAAATAAGTAGACACCAAGAATAGAAAAGAAGTTTTAGACTATGCATAAAATGATTAAGTTAGAAAATATTTGATTGATTTAAAAGATGCAACTAGAAAGGGTATTTATTAATTATAATTTATTCATTGTTTTATGTATTAAATTCGCTTTTTTTTATCAAAGGGGATGATAAAAGCTTTAATTTTTTAGTTAACTGCGGACATTAAGTTAATGGAAAAAAAACAATATTTGGCATTGCTCCAATTCATAATGCAATTCAGTTTGTAAATTAATCTAAAAATGATTAAATTCTAAGAAGTGTCGTTAATTGTGATGCTGATGTAAACATAACTGATTCTAACGGCTGGACTCCTCTTCATTATGCTTGCAAAAATGGAGACTTAGAAACTGTAAAATATCTTTTGTCTCAAAACGCAGATGTTTACAAATTTTCTAGCAAAGTAAATATTATTAATTAATTAATTAATTGCTTGTATTTGAAGCTAAATAATAAAAACATTATTAAATATAAAAAGGGATATTAACCTATTCATGTTGCTGCTTTGCACAACAGACCAGATGTGATTCAATATTTATTAGAAAACAAAGCTGACAAAGAAGTATTTTTATAAATAATTAAGAAAAAATCTATATTTTATTTGTGTGTTTTATTTTATTTATAGGCCAGAACAGTTCAACAATTAACTCCTCTTCATCTTGCCGCTAAAAAGGGTAATATAGAGTCTATGAGAGTTTTATTAGATAATTAAGCTGATAGATATGCAGTTGAAGAAAGAAATTGGACTCCTCTTCATTTTGCAGCATTTTATTGTAAGTTAAAATATTATAAGAATAAGATAATAATAATAAATCAACGAAAATAGATCACAAAGATGCAGTTTAACTCTTACAAGTGTATGATGCTGACTATGAAAAGTTAAAATATATGACTAATTCTTAAGGAAAAACAGCCAAATAAATCGTGACAAATGAAGAAACAAGATTCGCCTTGTTTAGTAAAAAAATTATTACCTTATAATTATTACTTATTATTCATTTATTTATTTTTATAAATAGCTTTATGGAATGCAGCAAGAGAAGGAAACTTGGATGTTGTTAGAAGATTAACAACTCTTGGAAATGATATCGATGGATAAACAGTTTATAATAGAATGACTCCCTTGATGTTTGTAAATCATTATTTATTTTTCATATTAAATTATTAGCTAAATAATAATTTAAATAAATCATATTAAAAAACTTTTTTCTGATTTTAAATAAACACCAACCGCAATTTCTCTATTCTAAAAAATATCTCATAAAAATATCAATAAAACTCTCTCAATTTTTATTAATTAGCTAAATAGGATTTTTTTAATTATATTTTAATGCTAGAAATAAGAGCATATACAATATTTAAATTAGTTTTAAAATAAAAGTCACTAATATTTTTTATTTTAATTTTAGGCAGTTTAAAATTAGCATTACTTGATTGTTAAATTCTTAGTTGAAAATGGGGCAAATAGTGGAATATAAGACGCAAGTATTTTTAATATATTAAAGATTATTAAAAAAATTACATTTTAAAATTAAAATAGATGGAAAAACAGCTTTTGACTATGCAAATGAAGTTAAAATTATGGGCAATCAGCCTGAAGACGAATAAAAAAAGATTACAAAAAATAAAATTATAGGATTGCTAAATGGCAACTTATATTGAAATAAATAATAGATTAATTTATATTTTTATTTTGTTCAGATGGAGCATCTAAAGAGAGAATGATCTTTGTTCCTCCATTTATTATCTTTGTTTTTTTCTTGTTTATATTAAAATAATTAATAGAAAAAAAAAATTTTATTTCCTGATCAGATTAAATTAAAAAACTTTTTAGTTTGTCTATCTTTGATTTTCATTTACCAAATACTAAATTAATAAGAAGTGATTAAAAATTTAAACACTGAAAAAAGATAAACTTTTTGATTCATTGACTGACTCATTGATTGATTGATTGATCAATATTATTAGAATAATGAAATAGAGAGAGATAATTCATTCTTATTATCAAAAAAGATAGTAAATAACAAACAAACAAACAAACATCAGCTATTTGATTAATTTTTTTAGAAAGATAAATTGCAGATTTTGTTTGTATTTAAAAATAAGCAATTAATTAATTTATAATAATTTTAAGCAGGTTAATAAGTTTGTTTGTTTGTTTGTTTGATATTCATTTATTGAGTAAGTAAATAAATTATCAAGTATTAGTAAGATATATATAAACATAGATAGATAGATAGATATTGATAAAGAATGGGAAACTATTAAAGCAATTACCCAGAGAGAATGTTGAAGCTTAAAAACTTTTAGGATCTCAACAATGATATAGATGAATTCAATACAAAGCAATTGTATGGAAAATAATTATTAATTTTGTTTGTTTTTTGTTGATAAAAATGTTTAATTGATAAAACAAACAAGAAATTAGAAAGCGATGGATGCTCTGGGATTTTTAATTCAGTTCGAAGAAATAAATTATGGAGGATTTAAAGGTCTTTTTAAGAAGATTTTCTTTTAGTAGGCGCTATCAAAAATAGATATAAATACAAATATGGTAATATTTATTCTAGCTATTACTAATAGCGATTCTATCTAGCAAATGATTAACTTATTATTTACATTTATTATTTAGCTTCTAGATAACAAGCCTTATTTTTTTAAACTGAGAGTTAATGAAATGTACGCTCTCGCAGAGTTACTAGGAAGATATACAGAAGATGCAGATTCCATGACAAATTAAGATTTAACACAAGCATAGATATAAGCTTTATCATAAATTAAAATTGGCAGAAATGCAAATAATAATAATAATAAATAAAATCCTTCATAAGCAAGTAATTAAAATGAAGAAGAGGAAGAATAGAAGCAAGGCGATAATATTTCCACACAGTAAAAGCAAACAAATTAGTAGAATTAGATAAGCCAAGAAGAAGAAGATAAATAGTGTCCATTGTGCCTTGATAAAAGAATTTAAATTGTATTGCCGTGCTTGGTAAATTTTTTTTTGCAACAAAACAAATCATTTAAATCAAACAAGCAAGAGTTAAAAATAATTCACTAAATATTCCACAAATATTTTCATTAAATCAATGCATTTTTTGTCGAAAATAGATTTAAATAAATTATTTTACAAATCAATCAAAAATCATTAAAATTAGCTTTAAACCAATTATAAATTTAGTATTAAGACAATATAAAATTTCTAGATCAAATTAATCAAAAAGTCAATAAACAGTTAAATAAATAAAATATTAATTGGAATAATATTTTATAATTATATTCATTAAATGGATAATAAAAAAGTAAATAATATAAAAAGTTATAGCAATAATTTTAACTTAAAACACTTAAAATATTAAATTTGAAAAAAAATTTCATGCAAGAGGAGAAACTAAATAGCTAAATTCAATAGATAAATAAATAGAATAGAATTGATAAAAATCATTAATTAAATAATAGGCAAATCATTAGTTAATCTTAATCAAATAATTTAAATAAATTCTATGCAAAAAACAAAGTAAATATGAGCTAGTAACAATAATTTGTAAGATTAAATTAAAAAAATATGAATATAAATTAATCAGCAAATAACTGATAAAGTTGAAGTTAAATATTTTTTAAATTCTAATAAAAATATATGGTTAATAAATAATCAACAAAGCTCTACATAAATTTTAACAAATCAATTAAAATATTTAAAGCAATGATTTAATCAAATTGTTTAAATTTTATTTATAATTCTAAATAAAAATATTTGAAGATAATTTAAAATCATATAATTGAATCAAGTTGAAGCTTATTATTTTACTACTAAATTCCAATTAAACTATTTAGTTTATAAGTAAATTTACAAAGCCCTACTTAAATTTAAGCAAGCCACTTAAAATACTTAATGAAATTGCTAAACTTTTATTTATTAGATTAATAAAAAATACTTGGATATAATTTAAAAATAATAGAATTGAATAAAGTTGAACCTAATTATTTTAATACTAAATTCCAATTAAACTATTTGTTTTATAAGTAAATCTACAAAGCCCTACTTAAATTTAAGCAAGCCACTTAATATACTTAATGAAATTGCTTAACTTTTATTTATTAGATTAACTACAAATACTTGGATATAATTTAAAAATCAAAGAATTGAATTAATCATTTTATTAAATTCCAATTAAAATATTTGGTTAATAGTGAATCTACAAAGTACTAAGAAAACTTGAGCTAGTAAATAACTTAAAAATTTAAAGCTAAGATTTAAAAAATTTGCTAAAACTTAATTTTTAGATTAATAAAAAATATTTGAATATAATTTAAAAAGCAAAATATTGAATAAAGTTGCAGTTAATCATTTTATATTTTGAATAGTTAAGTTTATAAATAAAATAATTGACATTGATAATAAATGAAATTTAGTTTTTATAAAAAAATAATGAATGAATATTTTATGATAGAAATTAATTGATATTTTTTATAATTTAAATAGCATGGTTATTGTGATAATTGCGCAAGGAAGTGGATTTAAGAAAAGTAATAGAAGAATTGTCCTATGTGTAGATTCTAAGTGGAGTCTACTTAGAGCAAATTTAATAGGACAGTAATGCATATTGAAGATGATGTTGATAATGTGAATCTATTGGTTAAAAATTAAATAATTTAAATTATACTTTCTAAGAACGATAAAATACCTCTGATTATCAAAAATAAAGACTGAGCTTATTTATTTTATTATTTGATTTGTAATTATGAAAAATATCGCTTAGCAACCAATTAAGCAAACAGTAAAAATAACAAATAAACAAAGAAAGAAAGAAAGAAACAAATAAATAAATTAATAAATTAAACTAAATTAATTTAAGTACCATCCATCCATATTTATTTTATATAATAATATACAAACTAAAAATATACAAATAAATTAATATAAACAAATTCTTCACTAAATTACTTTATTTTCATTCTTACTTTTATTCGTTTTATTTATCACTAATTGCTTCTTTTTTGCACATAAACTTGCAGTTGTATCTAGCAAAAAACTTTTCTAGCCAACCTTTTGATGCTTTAAATTTATCTTTTTTGTTAGATAATTCCAGTGCCTTCTCTCTAATTTAATTTCGCGATACATAAGCCTATTCATTATAATACTTGTCCTTAAGCCACTTATAAACTTAATCTTCCATTTATGGATCTTCTTTTTTTCTTCCTCCACCTAACAAAAATGAAAAATAAATATTGGTCCAAACACATTTATTATTTATTTATTTAAAAACTAGTTTTTTAAATAGATATAAAAATAGATAACAAACATACCTTCTTTTCTTTTGTAACCAACAGCTATCCATCTTTTTAAATTCTTTGTTTTTACTTAATTAATTTGAGCAGCCAGTTTAATATCCTTCAACCTAAAGTAGTCATTTATAGCCTTTTTTTTCAGCTTTTCACTGTAAGATTAGTAAGGTCCTCTCTATTTTCAATTATTTTAAAAAATTAATATTCAATTATTCATTTATTTATTAAATCAAATTTATTTAATGTAAAATTTATTTAACTCCTTTAAAATATATTTTTATATATTAAAATTTAATAAGTTTTTAAAAATTAATAAAATTAGAATAACTTTAATTAAGTAAGTGATATTTATCTTAAATCTATACTGGTGTATATTTAAATTAAAATACGAATTATGAAATTTAAAAATAATTTTCTAATTTATTTAAATTAATTTAAATGCGAATATTAAAATAAATAAAAAATAGTGATTGAAAAATTTACTTTGTAAGATTTGATATCTTGATTTTTTTAAAAATCTAGTTTCTTTTTGATTTTTTTGTTAATAATATCTAATCTATGTTTTTTAGTGCTCTGATTTAACATTGATTCATTTGAATTTTTAAAGAAATTTGTTGTGCTTGACTGTGGATGTGACTAGTTTTTTTTGTAGAATATTCTATTTTAAACGACTTTTTTCTCTAAAGTGTAATCTTCACCAACTTGATCTAATTTATAAATCTTTTTCACAGTTGTCTTTGAACCATTTTCTTCTTCATTTACTTCAGCTATTTAATTGATTAAAATTTTATTTTACTATTCAAAGATTTATCTTATTTCATTCTATTCAACTTTAGAAATTCTATGGTTATTTTATTGACATTATATTAACTCTTAGTTCAAGTTATCTTCATCTAGAAATTCCTATTCTTTTTTAAGAAACATTAAATTAGCCTTTTCTATTTTTCATTTAAAATTTTACAAAACTTTTTTGGTGTTTCAAAATTAAAATATTGATCTACATTATACAACTCATTTTATAAAATATCATTATCTCTTAATTCAATTATTTTATTTAAATTATTATTTTATCCTTTCCTAGGTTTGACTGTGCTTTAAAATTATTTTTCTTTTCCCTTTTCAGAATAACAAGAAAATATTTGATAAATTGTAAACTTCTCATCATGGTCATTGGTAAACAGTTATTTAATTTCTACTTCTACTTAATTTTGAAGTTTATTAATCTTAAATACTTCTTTTTTAGGAGTTAAAAAACATGTTTATTAGCCATGTAATTGCTCTTATTCATGCTCTTCTTATTTTTATTTAGAGTCTAATTTCCCAACTTGTTTCACTTATCCTATCGCTATTAAATGATCGAATTGTTCATATGAAATAAAATCTTCAAATTTTGATTTATCAAACACAAAAATTAAAAAAAGTAATTTAAATATTAAATTTTAGTTACGTTAATAACAGCTTCTATCAATTTCTTAAGAAGAGATAAATTATTTATTCTAAAATATTTTATTTTAAAGAGTAATTTCAGCTTAAAAATATTCATTAAAACAACTTCTATCATTGAATTGCATTGAATTCATTTATACTCTAACTTAATTATCCATTTAAAAATCATACTTATTCATTTTATCTTTCTAAGCCAAAATAAACTCTTATTAATAAATCTCCTTTAGTAATAATATAAATTATAAATAAATAAATAAAATCTAGATTGATAAAATTATTAAAAATAAAAATAATTTTAAAACAATTTTACTCTACTTTTTAAACTGAAGAAAGTGCAAATTATATTCTATAAAAAAACAGTATTGAGGAACTACTTTAAAAGATTAGCTTTAAGATTGTCTTAATTGAATATTCAAATAAATTGTGTCTTGAATTTTTCTAATTTACTTTTTTAAATCTAAAATATTTAATTCTTGCTTTAATTTATTTATTTTGTATTAGATTTAAATTAAATTAATACTTTTAATTACAAAAAGATATTTTTCTCGTCTCTTAAATATTTTTTTTAATTTCTTTATTAATCCAAATTATTCGAAATTTTATTTCAGAAAAAAATTTGTTTTTCCAATTAAGGTAAATTATTTAATTGCAGTTTGATTTTTAATTTATTAAAAAGGAAACTAATAAAATAATTAATGATATTTATCATATATAATAACACATCGCAAAAATAAATTATCGATTACCCTTTATTTGAATATTCCTTTATAAATCAATCAAATCAACTATATCACATAAAATATAAATGTAAAAAAACAAACAAATTATTTTTAAATTTTAAATTAACTAGTTTGTTAAATCTTTAAATTATTTATTAATATTTGAAAATAAATTTATAATCAGTTGAAAAAACACATTCATTTTTAAATGACCAGTTAATCAATTGTAAAGTTTTTTAAGATAAAATTGTTGCTATTGATTCATTTGAATTTTTAAAGAAATTTGATGTGTTAGACTGTAAGTGTGACTAGTTTTTTTTGTAGAATATTCTATTTTAAACAACTTTTTTCTCTAATTTGTAATCTTTACCAACTTAATCTAATTTATTGCATAAGCAAATCTTTTTCGCAGTTGTCTTTGAACCATTTTCTTCTTCATTAACTTCTACTATTTAATTGATAATAATTTTATTTTACTACTCAAAGATTTATCTTATTTCATTTTATTCAACTTTAGAAATTCTATGGTTATTTTATTGAAATTATATTGACTCTTAGTTCAAGTTATCTTCATCTATAAATTCCTATTCTTTTTTAAGAAACATTAAATTAGCTTTTTCTATTTTTCATTTTAAATTTTACAAACTTTAAAATAATTTTGTATTAACTTTATAATATAATTTAATATTTATTAACACATTTATTGATTAATCTTATTTATATTTGTCTTTTAAACTATTATTTATTTATTTATCTTCGTTACTTTCGTATAAGGAGGTAGAAATAATTTAGATTTTTTTGTCATTACCTTTGCTTGAACTAATTAAAATATTAGCTACTAGAATTTTTTCAAATTTAACTAAATAACTGGCCATCTCTAATTTCTACTATATATATTTTTAAGTATATGTTTTAAAAACAAACATTAAGTTTAAATAGTGAATGTTAAATTAATTTTTCTGTGATATCTCTTCATAGAACCAAATATATAAATTAATATTTGATAATTAATTAATTATTATATTTATTTGTTCTTTTTATCCATTTATAATTAATTAATTAAATTTCATAAATTGCTATTCAATATTTTTGAAAAAAAAAATAAATGATATAATAGATTAATTATTATTACGAATTAGAAGAAGTAATTATTAATTTTTTTATTAATATCCTTTTAATTTATATAAATTAATAAAAAAAGTTTTTAAGCTATTCACTTTTATCTCATTAGGTTATCCATATTGATCTCATGTATATTTTATTAAAAAATATTATTTTTATTTTTACTAATACTTTTTGTATATTAAATTTTCAATTTATTTGAATAAATAATTTTTATTATAGAAATTATCATCATTATTTATTGATTTTTATTAAAACAATATTTTTTTTGCTATTTTAACTTAATTTTAATTTCAATTTTTATTTAATTATTTATTATTCATTTTTTATTATTTGATATTTTTTCTTAATTTTTTGCTATTAAAATTTATACTTAATAAAAGCTATTTATTTGTTTTACCTCGTAATATTTTTAATTATAAAAGTTAATTTAAAACATTATAGTTCTTTTAATTTATTTGATTTGTTTTCCTTATTCTTTTTATTATGATTTCTTATTTTTTCATTCTTTGTTAATTTTATTAATTATTAATTAATTAATCTTATTATTTCATATTTTTTCTTCATTTTTTTCTCCTAATTAACTAGAGTGAAATACCTATTTAATTTATATCTTAATAACATTATAAATAAAGCTAATTTTTAGAAAGCAAAACATATCTTTTTTTTGAAAAAAATAAATTTTGAAAACCTGGGATGGAAAAAAATTCATAAAAAATATTTAAAATTTTAATTTTATAAAATGTAAAAACTGGTTTATAAAACTCACTTTTTGTAAATTTGTATGGTAACTTACTCTATTTCATTATTTATTTTTTCTTCAATATTTTAAAAGTGAAAATTAAATTGGTGATGAAGGTGCATCAGGCTTAGGTTCTGGTTTAGCAAATTGCATTAATCTCTCAAATTTGACACTTAACCTTTAGTAAAAACAGTTTATTTGTTTTGGATTGTGATATTTTAAATTATAAAAACTAATTAAAAACAATAAAGCTCTTTTTTCTTTTTCTTTTTATTGTGATTGCTTTTTTTTGTTCTTTCTTTGTTAATTTAGCTCATCATTTTATTAACAACTTTTGAGTTTTATTATTAATTAATTAATCTTATTATTTCATATTTTTTCTTCATTTTTTCCTTCTAATTAACTATTTAATGATATATTTTTTCTTCAATATTTAAAAAGTGAAAATTAAATTGGTGATGAAGGTGCATCAGGCTTAGGTTATGCTTTAGCAAATTGCATTAATCTCTCAAATTTGACACTTAACCTTAGGTAAAAACAGTTTATTTGTTTTGGATTGTGATATTTTAAATTATAAAAACTAATTAAAAACAATAAAGCTCTTTTTTCTTTTTCTTTTTATTGTGCTTGCTTTTTTTTTTGTTCTTTCTTTGTTAATTTAGCTCATCATTTTATTTTCAACTTTTGAGTTTTATTATTAATTAATTAATCTTATTATTTCATATTTTTTCTTCATTTTTTACTTCTAATTAACTATTTAAGGATATATTTTTTCTTCAATATTTAAAAAGTCTGAATAAAATTGGTGATGAAGGTGCATCAGGCTTAGGTTCTGGTTTAGCAAATTGCATTAATCTCTCAAATTTGACACTTGATCTTAGGTAAAAACAGTTTATTTGTTTTGGATTGTGATATTTTAAATTATAAAAACTAATTAAAAACAATAAAGCTTTTTGTCTTTATTTGATAGCTTTATT